TAGTTACGCCGGCGGGCGAAGATCCAGCGTTTCGGGCAATTCAACGCTCTGCGGTTCGGGAGAGCATTGATGTATGGCTAAGAGATCGCGAGACTGATGGAGGAATGGATCTCAGACAGGATGGAAACGAGAATTACAGTCCACGGCCTTCCGCTCAGTTTGGTGGTAGGGCCTCTTTCGCATACTCAGATGGTCGGCCGTCCTTTCAGACCGACGATGGAGAAGACCTGGTTGAAGAGGCTTTAGTGGTCAACGAGGCACAGGTTTTTGAACGGTGTTTCCAGCATTTAAACGATTTTGCGACAGAAGGATTGCGAACGCTCCTTTACGGATACCGGTACTTGACCGAAGCCGAATATAAAGAGTGGAAAGCGCAGTACATGGAGGCTGTGACCAGCTTGTCGAACCGCCAGGAGAAGATTGAAGAAGTAGGGGAACAGATTGAGAACCAGTTCGAACTCTTAGGTGCGACAGCGATTGAAGATAAGCTTCAAAAGGGTGTGCCAGAGGCCATTGACAAGCTGAGGCGGGCTAACATCAAGCTGTGGATGCTCACTGGAGACAAGAGAGAAACAGCCCTGAACATTGGCCATTCATGTCGCCTTGTGAAGGATTATTCTTCGGTTATAATCGTCGATGACGAGGCTGGGAAAGTTGAAGAGACGATACGCTCCACGGTGTTTGATATCCAGAACGGCAATGTAGCCCACTCTGTGGTCGTTGTGGATGGCCAGACACTTTCTGCCATCGAGGCGGACCCAACTCTTGAGGCTCTTTTCTTCGACCTGGCCATCCTTGCCGACTCCGTGATTTGTTGTCGTGCAAGCCCGAAGCAAAAGGCTTTCCTCGTCAGAGCGATCCGAAAGCGCGTGAACAAATCAATAACACTTGCTATCGGTGATGGTGCAAATGACATTGCCATGATCCAAGAGGCTCATGTGGGAATTGGAATTACAGGAAAAGAAGGTCTTCAAGCCGCACGAATTTCGGATTACTCGATTGCTCAATTTCGGTTCCTGCTCAAACTACTACTAGTTCATGGTCGGTGGAATTACATCCGCGTTTGCAAATACACCCTGGGTACGTTCTGGAAGGAGACGCTGTTTTACCTGACTCAAGCTCTTTACCAGCGATGGAACGGGTATACCGGGACTAGTTTGTACGAGCCTTGGAGTTTGAGCATGTTCAATACCCTCTTTACTTCCCTCCCGGTTATCTTTTTGGGCATTTTTGAAAAGGACCTTGCGGCTTCCACGCTCCTTGCTGTCCCCGAACTGTATACGAAAGGCCAGTTGCGAAAAGGATTTAACATCAAGATATATCTTGGCTGGGCGTTTATGGGCAGTTGCGAAGCAATGATCGTGTACTTCGTTATGTATGGGTTATTTGGCGATGCTATTATTACCAAGGATAATGGTGTATTCGCGCTGGGCTTGCTCACTTACTCTGCCTGCGTGACCATCATATCCGCAAAGCTGCAGGCTCTTGAAATTCACAACCACTCGGTCATGGCGGCGATTTCGACTGTGCTCTCCGTCGGTGGATGGTTTCTGTGGAACCTCATCCTTTCAGATCGTTATCAAATCGACGAGATCTATAACGTCCGGGATAATTTCATTCACCGCATTGGGCGAGACTTTCTTTGGTGGACGACGCTTTTTCTCTCCATTGTCGCCGTCATCCTCTTCGAAATCGGCGTAAGCACCGTTCGCACCACTCTCTTCCCCACGGATGTAGACATGTTTCAGGAATACGAACAAGATCTCGAGATTCGAAAGCGGTTTGAAGAAGCTGCTGCCATGGAATTGCAGCAGGGATGGGACCGTGGGACCAAGAAGTCTAGTGCCGAGCTGCAACGTGAGGCAGCGATTGAAGCGGCCAGAGAACTTCAGGTTCAAGAACTACTTGATCGACGGACAAATGATGCGGATACTGTCATCAAGGGAGAGGCCGTGGCTACTGCTACCCTCCGCCCTAACGACGAGACGGAGGACGTCAGTCTTGTCGATGGCGAGAGGCGCCAGAGTAGCAGCGCTGCTGGTCCGCGTCGGTCGTTGGACATACATGAAATGTTCAGTAAAGGGTTTGGGTCCATTCGCAAGGGCCCGGATCTGAGATGATTCCTTTCTTCAGTTTGGTTTGTGCTACATACTACCTTTTAGCTTCATATATTCACTGCATTGCCGATTTTATTTCGGGGGTTGGCTTTCCCTTTACCTTATTGTTCAAGGGCCACCGTCGAAAAATGATTCCCATGGTTGTTTATGCCTTTGTTTATTCCCGCACTAAATTGTACATACACCCTCCGCCCACGGCTTGCACATTTCCTTTATTTTTCCTCCGTTGTTTTCAACCATGATCCCTTCCTTTCTCCTTTCCCCTTACCTTCGGCTTGCCGTCCTCCGGCATTGGTCGTCGAAAACCCTAGCATCGGGATGCCATGGCCTTGTCCCTCTCCACCCCTGATGTTTTACTCTGGGTTGTCTTACATGTTTCTATTATATGTCCCGCATCCATGCGCGCGCATCATTCGAGGTCCCCGCTCTCCGCTTCCCCCCAGTTGTATATTCAACCCTCGCCACACCTCCCTGTCGTTGCCAACCCTGTATATAGATGGCGCTGTTTTATGATATCCCGTTTCCTTGATTGGTCGAATTTGTTTGGGGTTTTTGGGCCTCTTTTTCGATACCCATCCATTCATTTAAAGTGGGAGGAGCTTGGAGCGATGGTGGGGATGCGGTATGCAGAGAAGAGTTTATTAGATAGATAGAACGAGCATCTGGTTTTTAAATCCTGCTTTTTTCAGAGTTGTGAAGAAGTACCTTGGAAAATTCTTGCGTATGGGTGTGGCTTGCTTATTTGTAGGGTTGATCGATGACTCGTCGAGCAACGGGAGCGAACACCCGCACGCCCTTGATTATGTTTCAGAATTATCTAACTTACGGGTTTGGTTTAGCTCGGCTCTTTTTTACACTTCATTTCTGGGTTTTTAATATCCTGTCGGCACAATCCCATTCCATTCGTCTGGCCTTCAACTCGCTTTGAGGAAACACTTGCCATCCACTCAAGAGGCTCCATACCCGCCCTTCAGAAACAAATAAAAAAGAAAGTGTATTTGACTTGAAGCATCAGGGTCGCTGCGCGTTGTTAGTGGTGAACTCTACGATCGAGTTTCTAACCATTATTCCCTACCAGTGCTAACTAGCTAACTAATAGCCCCCCCGCTGAGATGGGACGAAGCCCTTTGGCTGATATGCGATGAAACCCACCTTCATCGTCACAAATTGCTGAAGCCAGAGAGAGCCAGTAAGGGCGAGATCGCGTAGGATTGGCCAACCTGGTGATGGAAATCGTTCTGCAGCGGCGCTATTAGGTAAGGTTGACCAGGGTGGCCCCTAGCCGGCGATGCCTGTTATTGCCCGGGGGGAATGTTGGGCTGTGTGTGAAACGGTTTCGATTTCGCTTGACTCGGATCTTTTCCTTTTTCTTTTTTTTTTTTTCAGATCTGAAGAGAGCGTGGGATGGCAGATGGTCATGATCTCATTTTTTGCGCTTGGGATGTGCCTTTCTCCCCTCGTTACGAGATCGAGAGAACTAACCAGCTAAGAAGGTAAGCATCTGCAGTTGGGCGGCGATTTGGAGGCTGTGTGCTGCATCTCGGGTGTCGTTGCGGAATTGCCCGAGTACCTGCGTCTCTCGCCGCCAATGATCACCGCTGATGTAGTTGGTTGCACGGACAAGCCCGTCTTTATTATTAATTCATGCTGCTCACCACGACGAGATTCAAATGCATAACTAGTCGAGCGCTTTTGAGTCGCACGACGAGCGAGGCTTCAAAGAGCACAGCCCGCAATAACCGTCGGATTCCTCCCTCGTTTTCCAAGCTTGGCTATTTATGCTTCAGCCGGAATCATACTCCGTAGGTGTGTTCTCAAGTGTGTACTCCGTATGTGGTACGGATAACGCGTGAGAGGAGTGCATCATGATCTGTTTCGGGAGAACAAAAGCCCCAGCGCTTTGGACACCTGGGCGTATTTACCGACGCATTGACGGAGTGAGCCCTTTGCCCGACTAGCTTTTGCGATCAGCCTTCAAAAACCGGGCGGCCAGAGGAGCAAAGACGCGACGGACGACAGGAGGTTAAAGCGCATGATGGATGATCGACGGCTACAGAAACTCTCGCCCTGTGTTTGCATTGGCCGTCAGCGGAAGACATCAAACAATCAAACAAATGATGGTGATGTGGTCAAAGAAGAAGGGATCACTCATCATCGTAGACTCCACTATGGTTTGACGTTGTTCGATCATCTTGTTCTGGAACATTGCCAGAGCTCCTCTTCTGTTTCGCCTTTGTTGACTTGGGATGATAACCCTCTGAATTTTTTTGCGTTGTGTGACAAGATCCTTCACATTTTGCTTTTTATTCCGTTTCTCAGCCTTGTGGAGTCGATTTGCCTTCATTTGGCTGGTTTCGCTTGGGGGTGGATGGTGTGACTTCACTTAGCATATCCTTCATACACGAGAAACATGGATCATGGACAAAGTCTGAATCAACGGCAGTACTCCGTAAAACGCTCTAACTCGGAGTGGAAGCTGCGAAAACACTTGATGAGAACGGACCTGGGAATCCAGTTGCTAAGAATAGCACCGGCGCGCCCAGTGATGCGCGTTCGGAGTTGGGGGGATCTGAGTGTTGCAGCGCACTCTCTGGGGTGGCCTTCCGTGATTAGGGAGATGCGCAAGAGTTGTTTGGTATTGTTCTCGCATCCCAGAGAAACAGATTCTTCAGGCCAACGGCAGCTCCAGAAACTCGGTGAATGCACCAGGAGCTTGAACATCGAGGGGGCACAAAAGAAAGTCAAGTTTTCGCAGTAGTATCCCCTGCATATACGAGGAAGGACAACCCAAGACGATGGCCCCAGGCCCAGTCTCTCAATAATAATGTTTTGACTAGAGTCCTTTTCCAAATTCATCTATTATCAGGGTCTTGACTAATAATACGCAGGATCGTCCGGAACGAGAAACGTGGGGAAAGACGTGGCCGCTTTGGAGGAATTATAGCCAGGACTGCTGATAGCTCGGGTATCTGGCCAGGGGTTTGAGCATTCCCTGCAAATTGAGAGCTGGAATCTTCAAAATTGAGTTTACAATTTCGAAATTGGCCAATGGCTGACCGTTTTAAGATATATGAGAGCAAATATACACACAATCTGGACCAATTCCTCCTAAATTTTTGGGCAGTGTGGTCGGGAAGCCTGAGGTATATGCCCTCTGCTATCAACGGGCTTCCTTGTGCGACCTGGTGCCACAAAACCGTGTTTCGAATAATAATCATCACCAGCGAATTGAAAACATCAAGATCGACGCAGCTTTGAAAGATCTCCAAAAAAGCTTTACAGCCGCGTGACACGGACCTCGATAGCGCATTTCCAGGCACAGAACTCTTGCCAGGAGTGGTGCTATCCGCATGTTCCGCGCTTAGCCTGGGCTGCAAAAACATCAATATGAGAGCACACTTTCCTCATTGGAGGAATTGCGCTGGATCAAACGGAGCTATTCGTGATTCGTGCATGCGTTATTCCCGATGCTCTATCTGCGTACACCGTTGATTAGACGCTGACGCTGTTATCGCAGGCCGGAGGCGGGGGAAGAGTGGGAAACGGCGCAAAAGCCCGAGGAGGAGATCAAGTGTTCTGGAGCAGATAGCCTTCCAATTTTTGGTTGTGGATGGGAGGCAAATGTCTCATTATCCCTGCGCAAGATGCTGGAGTTCATTTCAGCAGTGCGCAGTGTCCCTCGAACCAGAAGCAACCGGTTTTTGTGGGTGGCTTCTGTGGAAGTCCTGAACCTCCAAGGCTTGAATCAAAGCTCGTCCACCCACGTCCTCCGTGGGGAGTAAAGTATTATCTTGCATATATTTGCGGTGGACAGCCGCCGGAACCGGGCTCTGGAATAAGCTTTGATGGAGGAACTGTAGACGCAAGCAAAAGATTGTCGCCTTGGAGATTGACCCCTCACATATATTGATCAAATGCACGGGCAATGCAGCCAACTTAGCGCACGCCAAAGTAGCTGAGCTTTGGAGTGGGCGAGGTCGCAAAATAAACGAAAGCCATCATTGATGCGATATGCATACCAAGGAAGAACGACTGATCCTTATAATGAAATTATCATAGTCACAAACTGCATTTTGTTCGCACGGTCGGTCCACTGTTGTTTTTCTCCGCTCCCTTTCGAGTTGGGCCCTGAAAATGTCCGATACTTTGGGAGCCTGTATGGAAAGTGTAAGGGAGTAGTGGTCACCTGGCAGGTCCGGTTCAACTGCACTGATCAGCGACTATTCTTAGGTTTCGAGTAGGATGATGTTTCTGGATCTCTAAATACGGGTACGGGATTGCACGATAGCATCTGCATGGGTGAGTTTCAAACATCCTTATGTGGGTACTCGAAAGACTGGACTTGCAGGCTCCCAGTAACTAGTAGTGGCAACCCAACAATCTGAACCAGCACCGCAAACTGTGGAATGAGGGAAGACTGCAACCCCATTGTTATATTATTTTAGCGCCCCTTGTTGTTTGGCATCAAAGGTCCATGCTCAGCCTGCAGTGATTCTGATTTCGACTCTTGAGAATTGGGTATCGAGCTTGGCCGGGGGGGCGTTGTGGAGGGAACATCTCAAACAGAGCGTGTCTCCGCATTTGGTGGCCTGATACTTGGCTGTTCCCGGACAAACCGCTTCTGGGTCTGGTGACCTCGTCCAGGACGGGCAATGCACAACGAATCTGTCCTCATCCCCCCCCATTGAGACGGCTTGTGCTTGTGCGTTGAAGCCGTTTGAGGTGAAGAAGCACTGAAGCAGCCCCTCGCTCGGGCTATCATGCCTTGTATTAGTCATCCTCATGCCCTCTCAAACAAGCAGGACGACCCTAAACCTAATTGGGGTGTCTTGCCAACAAAACCCCAAAAGTCAACCAATCAGAACACAGTATCTATTCGCTTAACCGGCGACTAAGCCCAATCTGGCGCCATCGATGCGCCAATCAGGGTGGACACCGTTGGAGTGCGGGCAGTCTAAGCCTAATTCGGCAGGGTGCCTGAGGGCGCCAAACCCAATCCGCGTTAAGCTTGGCTGTGCTGGTAGCGTCACGCGTTACAGCCAGCGGCAGGGATGGCGGTATACAATACAAGGGTGTGCAGAGGGACTTGGTCTGTCGTGCGTTCTGCCGTGTCATGGAATGTACCACTCCCAGCGCCAGGGTCTGGAAGGTTACCGCAACGGGTCTAGCGGGGTATTCGTGTTGTCTCTTGACCTCATTCTGCCCTTTTCTCGCTGGTGCTGACTGTCTCGCCGCCCTGCTCCTCGTCCTCTCATCCCCAGACCTCGTCTCTCCCTCTCTTCTCTTCCTGTCATCCTCCACCCTCGCCGTTTTTCTCTTCTTCAGTCTCAGGCACTCTTTATCCTCCTCCCCTTCCCTTCCTTTCCCGCCATATCGCCTTCTTCTTGCTTTACTTTCATTTTTGTTTTTCGCCCAATTTTCAACCAACCGTCTGGATCGTCCGTTCACTCCTTTACGGCGTCCAACCCACATTCCTTGAGAATCCATCGCCTTTCTTTTCCTTGTCTCTTTTATATCACATTCCTTTGCTTGGCCCCAATCGCACCGGTGCCCGTCGACGACGCTCTCTCTGCTCTTGAGCGCGATTCAAACCACTTGCCTCTGCGAGCTGATACTCTTCCCTGTCTGCTGCCTTGGTTCAGCGACTCCTGACGTTTCTTCTTTCCTTTCGCCTTCTATCCACCCTGGTCCTGGGACGCTTTCGACCAAAATTGATTCATCCGGGAAAATACCAACTCCAAACGTCGCAAGGTTTTGTCCTGTGGTTGAAGTGTCGCAAGACTCTCGTCATCCACTTACTCCCGCTGCCCGACGATTACATTCGTTTTAAACCCGTATCGGTATCCCCATCCGTTCTCTTCAAACAAACAATATCATCGAGCTTGATGCCTCGAGTTTCTACGACTTGACGATTTATCGCCACTTGTCGACTGGCTCGCGACGGAATACATTCTCTTTTAAACTCACCTCATCGACAGTCGACTCCCCGACTTTCATTTTATTTTATTCTTCACCTTCCTCGCCCCAAACCCGTATTTCCCTACCTGGCGGATCCATAGCTCTACTGGCATGTCAACCCAGGCAGAGCCCCTGAGCACATCTGCTCCAATGACAACTTCAACACCTACCTCCTCTACGTCCCCTGCAGCGCCCCCAATGGCTAATGCGCCGGCGAACTCGAATGCCCTCGGTGGCAGTGCCTCTGCTCAACAGCAATCCCGATCTACGCGACGTCCGCCGCGAAAAAGCACGTTGACCCAACAGCAAAAAAACCATAAACGTCAACGTGCCACTCAAGACCAGCTCGTCACGTTGGAGATGGAATTCAATAAGAACCCTACTCCGACCGCTGCGGTACGTGAGAGAATAGCAGAGGAAATAAACATGACAGAACGCTCGGTTCAGATCTGGTTTCAAAATCGGTATGTGCTGGATAGTGCTCTCTAGTTGCAATGGAAACTCATATCTCTCTAACTTTAATTCTTTTGTGTAGACGAGCCAAGATCAAAATGATTGCGAAGAGAGGGATCGAAACGGGCGAAGATTGCGACTCAGTACCCGAATCAATGCGCCAATACTTGGCTTTACATTGGGACCCTTCCAAGTCTCGCAGCTTGTTCAACCGAGGGTACGGCGCTGGTGACCCAATGCTGAATGCGCCAACCTCGTCCGGTAAAATCGGTATGTTGTACTCTATTCTTTGCCGTCGTTTGTTGCTCACAGATGACGCACAGTGATTTCTCACATCTCGTGTCGTTCCCTGAGAATTGGAACATGGAGACGTGTTGGTCAAAATACGATGGACTTGGTCATCTTTTATTCGCCCGATAAATCCTGCATGACCTATTACATCAATAACGATTCTGCAGGATACAAGATCGAGTATCCATTTTCACACATAAAAAACATCGCTTTAGAACCAACTGAGCCTGGTCCTAACGTTGATGGTGCGCCGCCGAAATTTGGTGGGATTGTCATCGAACTTAACCGTCCTCCAAACTTCTACATGGATTCGTCAAACTCTGGTGGCTTCTATCAATGTGGTGACTTCACAGAAGACCAGCAAGCCACCAAATCACTCGTCCATCATCTTGGAGGCGGCCACCCAAAAGTCCTTAGCGTCCAATTGGCGAAACTGGTATCGTTGGAATCGTTCCAGAACCGCCACATCCATTTTGGGTTTAACGGTTTCGCGTCGGCTCCCGTGTCTCCGCATATCATCCATCGTCCAGCCTCGCAACCAAATCAATTCGCTCGTCGCCAATCTGGAATCTACCAGGAAAATCATTTTGGCATGAGTTTGCATCCGCCGCGTGGCCACAAGCGCCAGCGCAGTCGATCTGTGCCTGTTCCAGTTGATTTCTCGGCGCTCCAGACGCCCATGCCGCCCTTCCATGTTCAACGCCTTCGACTCAGTTTCCAACCCAATCCAAACATATTGGCGCCTGTGCCACAGACGCACCTCCCAGTGAATGGGGTCACAGGCGCGCTACAGGTCGACACCTCTCCTGGCTATAATCTTGACTTCCGCAGTTACCCCATGTCTGCCACGACGGGTTCGCCGTCGGAATTTGCTAGCCCGTCTCTTTTTGCGACCACTTCCCCCCCCGGAGCAACCACAACCGGCTCACTTGGGTACGCAATACACTCTACCTTTCATGTCGCCCTCGTCAATGGTAGACCACGGTAATGTTATGGCCCATTCGGCTTCCTCATTGTCCCATGTCAGCCAAGCCGAACCGACAATTGCAGACCATTCACCACCTCTTACGACCACGCAGCGTAGCTCTCCAGCTGACATGTTCCCTGTTTCAAACGATCCAGCAACCTCCTTACCTGACGATGGCCTACTTCTGAGCGAGATGTACTCTAAACAAAACCTCAACATCTCGATGCCCTCTCCCCCAATGGATGATACGACCTTCGCTATGACATTGCAAGGACTCCACGATCAAGGCACTCCCGATAATGGCGTTGACTTTCAAGGGATGCTCGCCTTTGAAACCGTCGACCCTATGTCACTCGGTGCTGAGTCTTGATCACACCTTGCTGAATCACATACCCATCGTCTCTGAAATCCCCCTTTAATTATAATAAATGAGCCTCTCGTATGGAACGCGCGTCGCTAGCTATGTGAGTGTGAAGAATATACCTGGCCAAAATGTCGCTGAGATATGTGACCGGCCTGATATATGCTTGCAATCATTTACCTCTTCTCCGTTGTACATGTTGAAGTTTCTCAACAAACATGTCTCGTTCAACACAGCCAATGTGTTTTGAACCTGAAAAGTTCCTTCAAAATTCCACTATGAGATTTTTGGAATTATTTGCCAAACGATACTGCTGAAACCCCCACTCATATTCTATCTACGGCTGGTTCTGTGGCCCCTATATTCCTCTTGGATTCCGTTTATTTTGTTGAGATCTACATTTTGCAACATTTTCTCATTTTATCAAATTTGTTCCTTCTCCTTTTTATCTTTATTTGAAGCGTTTATTTGTGTTATCTTTATTCTAGTTGATCTTTACCTTCCACAATGTCCTCTTGTTATGATCTACTTCTTATCTATTTATCATACCATTCAAGCTTCTTTTTACATTTTCCTTTCTTTTTCAGGGGATTTGGGCGAGACTTAGGGGTTTGGAGCTGTTATTTCACTTCTCTACTTTTTTATATTACATATCCGTTTATTTCCTTTTTTCCCTTCATTCTGACCAGTTTTATCAGTGACCCTAATTCTCTGCCTCTACCTTATATTTTTAACCTTCCTAGCCCTATGAATAGTGGTTGTTTGTTCGTTACCTTCGATAGCGTTCTGGATGGAGGGTGCGCTTGAACATTGTGGCTTTCAAAGATGCGAGCTGTTTGCCCACTTTTAAGGTCGACTGGCAAGCTGTCGGAGCAAGGGACATAATTTCTTGGATATTGATGAATAGGGATTACTCTTTTGGGAGAATGGATACTTTTCCTTGATGACTGGGGATGAAATTACTTCATAGTTTGTGCCTTCTTCTCTTCATCCTTTCCTCTACCGTTTTATCATTTATCCAGCTATTTGCGGAGCGGAGTTGATCTTATGTATCTTATAGCGGGCACTATGTAAACTTATCAATGAGTATCTTCGTTCATGTCCGTGATGCTACTTAGGACTCGTTAACCCCGAACATACCTAATCTTTAACAATGATCATCTTGAGTCAACATCGGGATGCCAATATTCAACAGTTCGTCACACATTGAATCAATCAACCGTCCATCCCTCTGGAATGGATGGCTTCACCCCCCTCCTCCTCAAATACCACTCCAACCTCGCCTCCGCCTTCGCCAACACCCCTCGATAATCCACACCCTGCTCCCCCTCCGCGCCCTCTGTCACGCCATCGCGAACCCAAACACTCCACGCCCCCATCAAACTCGCCATCAACACATCCGTCCCCAACCGGTCCCCGACCACCGCCACCTCCGCCGCCGACTTCACCACCCCGCGCGCCATCAAGTATTTCAGAATCGCCGGAAACGAAAACGGCTTCTTCATCGGCGTGCGGTGATGGTGCGTGAGCGCGCCACCTTGGGGCGGGGAGCGAAAGACGGGGATGCGGAGGTCGGACAGGGCGGATTCAAGGGTGTCTGCTTCGGCGGCGTAGATGGGGTTGGAAGGGTTGCTGCCGGATGTGTTGGAGACGATGAGGATGCCGTGCGGGTTGTGGGTGAGGTTGAAGGGGGAAGAATGGCTTGTGCGCAGGTGGTGAAGTTTGGCGAGGTAGCGGGGTGGGATGGAGAGGGAGTTGGGAGGGGTGAAGGTGTTGTCTTTATCGAGGATGAGGGCGCGGATTGTGGGTGGGCTTGGGAGAGGGGGGCGGGAGAAGATGTGGCCGAGATGGTTCGGGGAGGTCGAGGAGGTTGGGATCGGGAGGTTTGGGAGGAGA